AAGTTATCTTCAGAAAAAGAACTGCCAAAACATATTCCATAGGCTCATTTTCACAAGCACCTTTCGAGAATGGCTGCTGCTGCTGCTGCTGCTGCCATTTCAGCTCTTCATCTTCTTCCTACCTCCAAAATCTTCTTTGCTCATGCACCCCACTGTTCTTTTCCTTCACTCAATCTCCCCACCTCACCCTACAAGTCCTTTAATTCTAAATCCCTCAGAATAATCTCATTTTCGCTCGCACAATCATCCGACTCCCCAGAATCTGACCCTCGAATTCTCCTCCAAGAACTTGCGGTATGAATCCTACTCGTGTATCTCAATTCTTGTTAATCCATTGTTAATTACCAGAATAGAATACTGTCTCTTAATGGTACATTTGTGTATTTGCTAATTTTTTCTTTCCCTTTTCTGTTGGTTTCGAAAGGATTGTTTTGCTCTTCCAGATGACTATTTTCGCCAGTTACCAAGGGATCTTCGGCTGGACGTAAGTTCAACTTTTGAATGTGTTATGTGCTCGACGGCCTGATGGGGTTATTGATTAGTAGCTACTATATACAGTTTGGTTTTGGGACTTGAATTGTTGGAGTGTAGCTTCTTATGAATTGAATTTTGGAGCTTAACTGCTATTGAAGTTCCGGTGAGTGACGAACGTACTATATGCCTCAAAGGCACTTACCTAATGCAAGGATGAAAGAAAAAGGTTGCTCTGCTGTGTCTGGACTCCATAAACAGTTGGTTTTGATTATACAAAACACTAGAGAATACCCTCTTGATTTTTTTGGTTTACTGTGTAGGGCCAGTAAGGGGTTATTTGTTAGGTAAATACAAACCTCTAGGGTAAGGAGGTGTTTGCGTTTGTAATCTTGAAAAGAAAACAAGATAACTTTTAGTTTCATTTCTTTTGTCATAAATCTGAACCTCAAGGGTTGTTGTTGTTATGATCCAAAAAAGTGCTTATCCAGATATAGAAGGCAACAAGTGCAAAGAATATTCTTCAAGCATTGTACAATGTAGCTGAAACGGTAACTTGATTTGGTGGGATAAAATTGTACAATATGGCTGAATCGGTAATTTGGATCTGTTTCATTTGCTATGAGCTGCTATTTTGTTGATTCTTCTCCAGCACAAAGTATTCTTAGTTAATGTATGGCATGAATGGTAGTAGTTAGTCCATCTATGCTAGTAACTTTGTGTCTTTTTCTGTGGTGTTGAATTTCTTGGACCACTGCTTTTGAGTTATATTATATGGGTGCAAAGATCGATAATGAAAACTTGTGTGTAAACTGTGGTTGGGTATTTTGGAGTTTGTTCTGTGTTCTGAAAAGCTGAACATAGTTTCTGATTTTCCATTATTACTTCATTCACTCTTTCGCTTGCATCACTCTTGGATAGAAGAAACTTGATTCTGCGAACGTCTTGACTATCATTTTTGTTTGTTCAATGTTGAAGCTGAATGATGCAGCATTTGATCTTTCAAACGGTGCTGTGAAAGATGAGGTCAGCATCTTCTTTTCGCGACTTGCACACATTGATTGATGCTTTTACAGTTGAGATAAAAGGATAAAATAAAAGAAAAAAAAAATATGACAGTATCTCTTAAGTTTTTTTTAAGATAGTGAATAGGAAAAATTGCAAAAAATACACCCAACACCCAGGTTAGTTTTACTTGTACCAAATGCCTGTAAAAGCCAATCCTTGATAATCCACAATAAATAAACTTGTCTGCTTGAATTTGTATTTCAGTGTGGTGAAGAGTTAGGTGAGACATTGTTAAACATAAGTCGAGCATGGGAACTTGCTGAGGCATCAACTTCAGCAAAATTAATGAGCAAGCTCCCACTGTTGGTGGGTTTGCTCCCTAATAACAATAAATCAGGCAAGCATTCAAATTCCACCCATGATTGGTTTGGTTTGGACTAGTTCCCATGATTTTATTTTTTTGGGTAATTAGCACTCGGAAAGCGTTTGGTTTCTGCATCTAGGAGGTTCCAGTCAATGGGTCAGTATGGTCAAGGTGAACTACAAACGGTATGGACTTAAACCTCGTTGGATTTTCTTTAAATGTTGTGGTGAACTGCAAACTGTATTTAGTTGAACCATTTGGGGTTAATTGTAAATTTCCGGTGTTTTCAACTTTATCCTTTGATATGATATATAATATGGTCTGAAATTATGTAGGTTTTTCTCTGATCTATAATTTGCTTTTATGGATTTCAGTTTTCAGTGCTACAATTTAACTTTACAGACAATTAATGATTGCACATCCATTTTTGTGCATGTCTTTAAAGAATCAAACTTACTGATGCATAGTTATAAATCAGCATAGATTGCTAAAGTGATGAACAAGAACGGAAAGCTATTGGCTGCAAATCCAGTTACGGAGGCAGCTACTGGAGAAGCAAAGCCGGAAACCAGGGTTCTAAAGGTGTATATAAACAGTCTTGCATTTGAAATAAGAAAAGAAAAAGAAAAGTCAAGATTTATTTTCTGATTCATCAAGTTATAACATGTTCCAAATATTGAACAGTTTGGCGAGCTTCAGGTTGAATTGACTCCAGGAAAGGCATATGTCGGTGCTTTGATTGGGTTTATTTTCGGGTAATATTATCAGTCCATATTAGCTTTTGTCATCCAATGACTCAGGTGTCAGAAAACTCAAAAACGCTTTTAAAACTCCGATTACAGGGTTCTTTCATGGCAAGTAAGTCAAGGCATCCAAAGCATACCCGATAGCTCACTGGAGTATGCGAATGATAATGCATTACTTCTTGCAAAGGTGTCTGATAACTATCTATTTATATTGTAATTTTTCGTATGAGGACACATACCCCAGTAATTTAGTGTAAAGATGATCAGTTTATATACTAGTCGAGCGGGTATTTGCTATTTCTCAGGAGAATATTTTATTTCATTTTCTGGTAATTCAGCTGAACTCACTCTTTAACTGATAATGCTGAATGATGGCCATTGCAGTCCCTGCGTGGAGCTCTCTTGGCGCTTTTCTATTCATCTACAGTCTTGTCTGCTTTCGCGGCTGTAGGGCTTATCCTACTTGGAGGACAGTTAAAGTCGAAAGGAGAGTGAGCTGTAGTTTTCATGAATCAAGTGCTTGTTTTTGTTTTTTGTGCTGGAAGTATGATGTAAATTTTGTCTTTGTTCATGCTTATGCAGACGATTGTCATGTTTATAACTTACAATCCATTAGTCATTGTATCATCAGTCATTGTATCATTTAACAATGATGATTACAATCTCTTATATAATTTACAATCTCTGTCGCTTCCTCACACAAGAATTCTGTGTAGCTCAAGGTAATCACTCACAAATAAAAAATTCGACTCGAGAAACAAAAGAAAAGTAATTACATACAAACAGGATTGTAATCTTATGCTTATTTTTCCAAAAATTGGGATTTCTCATATACACTCAACTAGTCCTATACTAAAATATATTACTGCAAGGAAACAAACATTTCTAAACCTTGGGTGTAATTATATGAAACTTGATGCTCACAATAAGTTGGTCCAAAATCCCAAATACGGGAACATGGCGATCAAGAGTCTCATAAATAGCGGAGTATCTCCCTTTGTTTTCCTACTTGTGATAACTCTCTCTTGCACCTCAGGCTCACGTGTAACAGGCCTTACCCGAGGCTCCTTGTCCAGCTCATCCCATCCACCGAAATCGAATCGACTCCTATTCTCATTTCCCCACGGCACATTACTTCCCTCCACCCACGATTTGTAATTCCTTGTCCCGTTTCCTGACTGAAACCAAACTTCTTCTTCTTCTTCCCTTTTCACCTTCATACGAGCAAAAGGCTTATTCTTTTTCTTCTTCTTCTTGTTCTTTGTTCTTGGGGAATCGTAAAATGTTCCCCAGAGTGTGTCGGCTGCTATAGAAAGTGCCGACTGGGCAAGAGGTAGAGCAATGGCCATGATAATCGAGTTGGGTCCTGTCCCGAGCACCAATGACGCAATCACTGCTGGAATCATCCACCCAAATGCTCTCAATACCTCAGAAAAAAAGAAATCAACTCCATTTTTTATCAGTGGCTAAAGGGTGATGATATCTATCTTTCACACAATACAACAAGGTTTTTACCTAATTAATTGCTAATAAAACTGAAGATCTCTTTAGAATTTAGCCAATTTAGCAGAAAATGGGGTTTCCTTAACTCATTATATATCAGACCATTAATCGTGTTCAAGGAAATAAATAGCTCGCTAAAGTTGCCGCTATTTGAGAAATAACTTTTTTTTGGCAGCGTGTCGCTATTTGTATTCATGTGCAATTTAGCCGCTAAATCCTACTAAATCTCCGCTATAGCTACAGTGCCATAAACGTTTTAGCCCGCTGTTTAAAACCTTGATCGTGTTACATACTCATGATGAAATTTGAGCTCAAAAAAATTCCGAATAATAGATTTTATCAATCCATTAAAGTTAAAATGGAGAAAGAGAAGCTAGTAACCTTAAGAACCCAATCAAACCCAATGGAAGCTTCGAGAATCCCAAACCCTTCCTCATCTTCTTCGTCGTCGTCGTCTCCATCGAAATCATCAGACCACCATTTCCTCTGCTTCGTGGACTTCCGGAACTCACGCTCATCCTCTTCACCGTAATCGTCCGTCGGATAAGCATCGCTGAATCTGGACCGTCGATTCGGGTCTATGTCTTTGCCCCAGTCCCTGCGCGACCCACCTGTCCGGCCTCCGGCGAAACGCCGGTGCAGATGAGATTTAGTATTAGTGTTATCATCAATTAAGAATCTGCGGTGGCAATTCTGAGAAATTGGAATCGGTAATTGGGTGAAGAATTGGATAGCCATTAATGCCCGGGTAGAAGCGAATAAGGATATACCATTTTGGAGTACATAGTAGAAGGTACAATAAGGTGAGGCTCGCGTACAATATTGTGATGCTAGGACTTTTCTAATTCTTTGAAGACAAATTTCGAATAATTTTTTTAATATGTTATAGAGACAAAATATTTTTATCAAAAAACAAAATAATAATTTATCATACTCTTCACACCATGTAGATCGAAGGTGCAACACTGCGAACCGAGTGGCTCGCGAGTGGAATCAAAGCTCGATTCAGCGCTTGAGTTTGACCGAACAGAACGGCTCGAGCACGAACTCGAGTCGAACTCGAGCTCATATTTTACCTTGTCGAGCGACTTAAAATATACGTTAAATTACTAAAATATCTCTTATTATATATTATATATTAGTATAAGTGTTTAATGGTAATTTTACCTTTTCACTTAAAAATTTTTGAGCCGAACTCGAGCCGAGTTCGAGTATTTTGATTTCGAGTCTAGCACAACTCAAGCTCGAGCTCGAGCTATTGTGATTTTCTATCGAGTCGAGCTCTAGCCTAAAATATTGAGCTCGAGCTCGAACAACTAAAAAAAACTCAATAATAAGGTCAATCCTCCACTCAAGTCGTTTGTACCCATCACTAGTCACTACCCTCTTCGTTATATGCGCCACTTCCTCCGTCCGCCACCGTCTCCTCCACGCCGGAATTAAACCTGAAACAGGAAATGTAAACAATCGATCATCAGGAGTGGTAGATTAACAGTATTACGAGAAAAAGTGTTTTTTGATGCAAATTCTCTTACATTTCCTCAAAACCATATCATCTCCCCCTCTCAATTTGTTGCCCAAACCCTCGCCAACTTCTACTACACTTTTCCGGTTTGTTCCCTGCCTTCGTTCTTACAAATCTGATTCAAACTCCGGCGATTCTGTCAAATACCGGATGGCATCGTCGGCAACAGTGAAGTTGCCGGCGCCGCTGATTGAAGATGGCCTTGGTACCAGATTTTGGATCAAGTTCAAAAAGGAGTGGACACAAGCGCTTTACACACCATTTATGGTCTGTTTGGCTGCTGGAACTCTCAAACTCGAGACATTTCGCCATTACATCGCGCAGGACGTATATTTCCTTCGTGCCTTTGCAAAAGCGTTAGTGATCCTCATGATTGTTTAACTGAGTGTTTTTTCAGTTTATCATTCCTGTGAAATACATTCCTATAAAAACCTGTTATGTTAGTTCTGGTTCTGATTCAATGGGGAGTTTTGATGTGAACATGGATAAAACTGTTAAGTTTCCATGGTCCCTTGCCCTGTTATTTGCATAAATAAAATTATTAACCTGGGGTGGAGTAAGGATTGAGTGTAGGGATGGAGTTGTTAAAGCGCAGACGATATTATACACTATTGTTGTTTAAAGACCTTGCAGTATTTGTTATTCTCATGCCTGTGACTGGTAGTTTATGGGGACAATGTGGAAGAATCCAGCAGTTCCTTCAGTGATTTCATGTGTAATCATGTAGTACATCCTTTCAACTATTTTCTTGCAAAAGAAAGTACGTGTTTTCCATATATTTCTCCAAGATTCTTAAGGCCTTCAATCTTGTTCTATAATTTGGCAGCTGAAAAAAGATGTTAGCTTTTATTACTCAAAGCAAGAGTCAGAAAGGTTGTCGCTGCAAATTTTGTCAGCCGAAACTCTTTACTTGTTGTATCCTAATCTTTTTTTGTTCCCTTTCCCTTAATTCTTTGCTGCACATCTGTATTACTTGACCTTTAGCTAGTTCGTTTTTCACTCTGCTAGCTAAGAAATCTTTTAGGGCCCTTTAATTCTTTAAATGCTTTAAGGCTAATTAGTCAGAAAGATTACCATTTATCAAGTAATTAACTGTATATATTGTTTCTACATGTTCTGGAATATGCAAACCTGGGCTGGTCCATAGGTTTAATTTTCTTTGATTTTGTTGCCCAACCAACTTTTTCTGGTATGAGCGGAAGGAGACTTTATATTTGTGGCAAAAACTGTGCATTAGGTATGAACTGGCTGAGGAGTTTGCAGACGACGATGATGCAAAAGTTGGAATTTATGAACTGCGGAAAAGTGTTCTTGAGGAGCTGAAAATGCATAATTCATATGTGCAAGTAAGTGTCAATAAGAATCTGGAAACATGCATCTCTTTGTGTTAAAGTATCTTTCTCTTTGTTCGAAATTTTATTTCCTATTAATTGTACTATGCTGCTGTCATTTACTGCATGTACTCTTGGATCAGTTTCAGTAAATTGGAATTGCTAAAGAACAACTATTTGCTGCTGTGGCCACCATGTTAGCTTTGCCTCTTGTTTATCAGGTTTTGGTGAAAGATAGTGGAAAACCCATTAACAATTTGATCAACTCTTAGTCAATCCCACTGTATGACCTGTAATTGTCATCAAAGATTAAAGAATAGATGTTTATGAAAGGAAGTGTTTCTATTTGGATGGCTGAGTGAGGTCGGCTGTTGGTTAGGGATGTTGCCCGCGCTGCCGGCACCGGAGGTCATTCAAGTGGTGCTGCCAGCAGCCAAGATTTAACCGTTTTCTTTTATTTTCTCCTTTTTTTTTTCCTGTGGCTGCTGGCTATGTTTTTCAATTTGTGGAGTTGATGTGAAATGGTGGTAGACTTTTATTGAATTTCCAATTTGTGCCATTGCATGTTTTTCTATTTTCTTATGCCCGCTTTTTTCAATGTGACCATGTACAGACTTCTTCAACATTTGTTTGAATGTTTTTTCTTTTTTTCTTTTGCCTACTTTTAGAGTGAAACTTATGTAATCGGCTACATAGAATTCACATTCATATTTCTGTTGCCTTGGACTATTATTTTTTTTTTCCACTTTCAAGTTAGGAATGGAATGTTCAAATTTTTCATGGTGCATAATTGTGTCATACTGGTGAGTTGTGTATGATATATTTTTATATTTGTATGATGGCTCACCTCGCTTGCATAACGGGGGCGCCTCGCCCCACGCCGTGGCAAATAGGAGGCTTGTCGTCTTGGTTGGCCGCATGCTATTTTAATCACTGGAATGAATGTCAAAAGAAAGCTCGGGTGTATATTATAATTCTAGGTTGTGGTTTCATTTATGTTTGTTTGTGTGTTTTGTGCCTCTTCAGATCTTCGTCTTGAGTTCATATCCAATGCTTAGTTGTCATTATTTCTATGATGAGTTTCTTTCATCTACCATTAGCTGCTAGTTTCTTATCACGCTTCTTGTGAGGTGGATGTAAGTTTATTGTGGTTATTTTCCATACTGAAAATATGCAGGAATGGGGTTTCGAGTTGCCCAAAGAGAACACTCCAAATGTTGCAACAGTTAAGTATACTGATTTTTTGCTAGCCACAGCATCCGGAAAGGTTGAAGGAGTAAAAGCTCTTGGTAAACTAGATACTCCATTTGAAAAAACAAAATTGGCGGCATATACTATTGGTGCTATGACTCCTTGCATGAGGCTTTATGCCTTCTTGGGAAAGGAGTTGCAGGCATTTCTTGACTTCAATGAAGGTGTTCACCCATATCGAAAGTGGATCGATAATTATTCATCTGATGCTTTTCAGGTCTGTCTTAACAGTTAGAAGCACACTTACGGCACTTTGGTATCCAAACTTGACTCCACTCAACCAAATTAGACACATATCCTACATATATCTTACAGTTTATTTTGCTGATTCAGGCTTCAGCTTTGCAAACAGAGGACCTGCTGGACAAGTTAAGTGTGTCTTTGACTGGTGAAGAACTTGATGTTATTGAAAAGCTTTATAATCAAGCTATGAAACTGGAAATAGAGTTTTTCCTAGCCCAGCCACTTTCTCAGAAAACTGTTGTTCCTCTATGCAAAGAGCACAATCCAGCGGAACATTGTCTCATGCTGTTTTTCGATTTTGATTTGACATGCACTGTTGTGGATTCGTCTGCTATCCTGGCGGAAATAGCAATTCTTACTGCTCCAAAATCTGATCAAAGTCAATCAGCTAATCAACTTGTTCGAATGTCTTCCATCGATCTTAGAAGTACATGGGCAGAACTTTCTAAGCAGTATACTGAAGAGTATGAGCATTGCGTAGAAAGTGCCTTGATTCCGAGAGAAGGTGGGTGCAATTTAATCTCTCTCTCTCTCTCTCTCTCTCTCACACACACACACACACACTCGCTTTCTCACTTATTCATATACTGATCTTCAGCTGTTAGTCCTGGAATTGGACCACTCTGGGCATGGAGGGAACTATCAAGAATTGGGTTCAATATCTGCACCATCACTTCCCAACATCACTTCGATGGCCTAATAAATATTGATGCACAATCTGATAGAGCCACATACGGAAAACTTTAACCCCTTCAAGTCGTTAGAAGCTATCAAACTGAATGCCATGTTAACTTATAGAAGTGGAATGGAGGGATTTTGCATACAAATATATTCTGATTTCAACCTTAAGACTGAGGATATATTTAGTTTCCAAGTAATTAGTGGAATAGTTGATGGATAAGTAGATATAATTGATTGGAAATATCCTAGGGAACATATTTGATTTGGGGAGATCTTAACATATCAATGGCTGATGCGGGAGCATAGAATTTGGAATATTAGTTTATAAATGATAGGAACAAGATGAATGATAGGGGACTAGAAATATCGTTTGGCTTGGGTGACAAATTTTATCTGATGGGAATTCTTCCCGGGGGGTCCTGTGACTTTACTATTCATGCTATCATTCAATAATATGGAGTTTCATTTTTTCTATTTACGACTTTGTGCTCTTTACTCTATCAGCATGCATTTTGTTCTGAAAATAAGGTGGCTAAGTTCGGAGAAAGTTTGTGGTTTATAGGGGGGAATTTTGATTATGAAGAGCTCTATGAAGCACTTCAGCATCTTTCCGATTTTGAGAAAAAGGCAAATTTGAGGGTGATTGATTCTGGGGTACTTAAAGGTCTGAGTCTTGATGACATAAGGAGAGCTGGAGAACGCCTCGTTCTCCAAGTTGGCTGCAAAGATTTCTTTTCAAGTGCTGTTAGGAACGAAAACTTGAACACACACATTCATGTCCTATCCTATTGCTGGTGTGGTGATCTCATCAGATCTGCCTTCTCCTCAGGTGCGGTCTCTTTTCTTGGGTTTGGTGGCTTTTCCTTGGTTTCTAGTCGATTAATTTGGATTTATTTTCATGCAAATTAATGTGAATTTTCTATTAAACAATTACGGTCAGTTGCCTTTGATATTCCTTAATTAAAATAAACAGGAAAAGAGCTACCTTCTAGTACCTCAATTCACTGTTTACTTTTTTTCTTTCTATTTTTCTTTTTTTTTTCAGATTCTGAAGTTTTTTCATTTGCGTCTCATCTTGTCATTAGTTTTCTGAATTATGATCGAGTCGTTGAGAATCTCAACGGGCATGGATACTAATATCTTTGCTCCATAGATATATATATCAAGTGATATTTGGATTTTGGTAAAACTAAATCAATTTAGTCTCGGACAGGTGGATTAAAC